TAGGATTCATTTCACTTCACCAACATTTAACCTTCTTTATCTGCTATAGGCACGAGTTTCATAACCCTACACGTACATTGGTCTGCTGCTCTTTACAACTGATATCCAAACAGATTTAGCTCTTGTACATGTAAAAATGGATATCTTGAGTGCGTACCTCCAAGGCTGCCTATCTTCCGTGCCGAATATCGCAACGCACGTATTTCGGGTCTCTAGGAATAAGTTCCGCTTGGGCAAATATTATTCTTGCTTTTCCAGCCACAATCTCTCAAGCCAGTTACTGCGCTGCCGTCGGGTTGCAGGGGCACTTTAGGATGATTTGACTGAAATACTTGGCAATCTTACCCTATTCGAGTAAAATGGCATTGACCTATGTGACTTAGGGACTTTGTCAGCAAGAATGATAAAAGCTCGCGTTTGCAGGTTTAGGAGGTCCATGCTCCCATGCATACCAGACTTGCAAAACATAGCCCGGAGAAGGACCGCTCCGGTTGTTTTTCAATAGAAAAACACAATTCTAACGAGTAGTGTTTGTCTTTTCAAACAACCTGCGGTTATACTACATATCCATGATTTCGTGTAAATACCTTTCAACAATGAATTATAACATAATCGCCAGGTTTTTATGCAAATAGTTTAAGCTGAATAATTACTCCAACTGCATTCTCTTGAAGTCAGCCCACCAACTGTATTATTTTACCTAGTTATTCGACGCAATTCGCCTACTACCTCATGATTATCGAACTGATTAATACGATACGACACGCATTCCAAGCGAAGGAGCACAGCCGAGTCGCCAACAAAGTAAAAAAGGCATACGTACTCAAGCGACCTCAGTCAACGTGGATTGGCTCTATGTTCGAAAGCCTGAAGAGTGAACGCAGTGCCAGATCTAAACAACTGTAGTTAATTATCTTTACACCACTGAGGCCCGTCAGCACACATTTTACCAGGTCGGTGACTTGGGATCAGGTCAATTTTGCGTCCTCTCCATTATAAGTCAATGGGAGAAAGTTTACTTTAAAGGCGCTTCTTTTGGCCGAAAGTCGTCATAAAAAATCGGACATCGAAATACGAAACTCCGGATTATAGATAAGCACGACACGCCGCATCGGAAAATTGCACCCGTGACCCCTGCTTATGTCAATGAAGTCATATTAGGTCATATAGGCTCTCTAGCCTTTTTTGTAGAGACGAGCTAGAGTAATGAAAATACTTAATGTGTTCAAGCCGACGAAATGGATTGACTGGTATGCAACATGATTTTGTGCGATCAGGCCTAACCTTGACCTTAGGTCAAATTTTCAGAATGACCTTCCAAGGTCAAATTATATAGGTAATTCGATGCGTCGCGACGACACGAACACTTTACCTTCAAGGAAGAGCAAGGTCGTGACTTCCTTGAGTCAAAAGTTATTGCAGATAATTTTTTGTTAAGAACGGCTATTTTGAGTTCTTACCCTCTGGAGGCTAAACTGTTGATCTGAGGTCAAACCTGAGAACATTAACCCAGGAAGAACATCAAAAAAGCTATCAAACGCGCTTTTTCGCGGCGCTGCAGCCCTATTTTCTCCCGAGTTATGCGACGATTTGTAAAAAATGTTGATTATGAAGTTTGACCTCCGGTCACCTCTGGTAACCTGTGATCTAAAAATAACCGGCGTATTTTCGTTGTGATCTTTGACGCTTTTTCCAATGCCCCTTGTCGTGAGTTTCTACGTGGCTTATGAGCTGAGCTAAACGGCTCGGTATTCAAATACCCCCCCCCCCCCTGGCCCGGCGCGGTTGGCGCCAAGCACCGCGCTGGCCCTACGCGGGTTAAAACGCTGAAATAAATTAAAAAATGAAGGTATTTGCTGTAAAAGAGATTAGGTGCAGTCAAATTAGGCGCATTCGCCGGATAGCCCGTAGTGAAAACGGCTACCAGGACCCTCGGTGATCTTAGCATGTCCTGGAAGTTCCAATTAAATCGATGGAAAAATGTAGGGTACGTAGAAAAATACTGCAATTTTAGAACTATTTTGACAATGTGCCAGTTTTTGTGACCTGGTGACCTGACCCGAGAACACTGAAGTCAAAACTCCTGGGACACGTGTCAAATGAGTGACACTACGTGCCACATTGCTCACTCTACTTACATAGGCGGTGGAACGGGAGGGCACCGGGGCACCGTGCCCCCCTTGATATGGGCATTTTAACAGTAGCCCTATATGGGCGTGGCATGGAAAGAATGGGACCAAAAGTCGGCAGTGCCCCCCTTAATTGAAGGTGTTCCGCCGCTACTGTCTACTTACAAAAAATCTTCGTAAATCTGTTGCCGCTAAACTAGTTTAATTTAACCCTGACCTTGTCCTGGTTTTCGTGACCTGGTAGCCTGCCTTGAAACCACCAGAACCTGAAATCTTAAGGGAGTGTGTTGACCAGATACCTCAGAAGGTTTGCAGTTTTTACGATATTTGCGAAAACCCTATGGGAGTTGTATCAATCCCACTGGCCACTTGCCAGTGGCCAGGCAATGATAAGTATTTTGCATCACTGAGTGTAACGGCACATCAAGTGCAGCTTAAAGAGCGTATTCCGTCATTTCAAAGTTTCAAACAAAGGTTTTGGGCCCTTTTGGTAGTTCTAAATCAATCAATGGCCCTTTCGATTCGTCATTCAAGGGCCCTTTCGACTGCATGTATCTCCTGAAAGAAATCCAAGATTGACGCCACTGGAGGACAAACTGTCGCAGCATCGACATACGACATATGCAAGTACGCACGTATATAAAGGATGCGTACTTGCATCTATTCGCAGCCTGCTTTTGTCACACTCCGCTGGGTGGCGTAGCAAATGAGTAGTCGCAAATAGGCGACGCGAAGCCTGGCTCTGATCTCTGAGGAGTACTCGAATGCCGAATCAGCCCTTTTAGAAGATCCGTATCTACCAAGGTCCTTAGAGGTCATTTGTAGGTGTAAAAGCCTTGAAGTTCTCGAGTTTTTTTTTTACTAGACAGGAAAAACACATTTTTAGCAAAACTTTTGTCCAGTTCCCGACCCTGATGTCGATAATGGTTTTCAATCTTGGTTTCAAGTGTCTTGTGTGACAAACTGAGGTGGAACTGACTACAATTAAGTACTTTATTCAGGGAGCTTCTTGTGCAAAATATTTGAAGGATGCTGAATACATGCTGTAAAATATTGACTCGCATTTTTCAAAATATTTATATTGAACGCTCAGGAGCTTTCGTGGGTGCCCTGTTTGACTTTGAGGGTGCTTGGGCACCCACAAAGAGGTATAAAACCCCACCCCTCTACAGATATGCACACATAAGATGAATTGTGTTTTCGTACATAGGAGTAAACGAGGGGCGTTCAAAAAGTTCCCGGCCCAACCATGAAGGAGTTGGAATTTCGGCCTGCAACGCGGTGTGTTCAATGATGTGTTATTGGGATGTCCACTTACGTAGCCATTAACCAATCTGCCCTGTGATTGGTTCAGGCTGCTAATTAATCGTAACATAGTTTGCCATTCCCGGTCAGAATGGGCGACGCCCAGAAGAGAACAGTGATTTGGTTCATGCATTGCAGAAAAATGCACTAAACGTTATTCACGAAAAGCCAGTGCCAACACATGTTGAGGTTTGTCTTTCTTACAGTAGCGTCAAAAAGTGGGCATCTCTGTTCAATTTTGGTCAACAGATCATTAATGGTCACCCCCGCAGTGGCCAGCCATCAACAGCATTGACTCAAGAAAATATGAAAAACAAGCACTTCTTTGTGAAAAATGACAAATGTTCTTGTCTGGAACAACGCAGCAGAAGCGGAGGTGTCTATAAGGTTCCTCAAAACCATTCTTCGACAGCGTATTAATATGTTTAAGATCTTTGCAAGATGCATCCCCCGTTTGCTGACTCCAGAGGAAAGGCAAACTCGAAAGGAGGCGTAACACGAAAATTTTGGTCCCTATATCGAAGATCCAAAAGAGTTCATTGAACTACTTATTACCGTGTAGGGATTGTGGGTGTCACACGTTGACCCCTAGGGCGCGACCGAGTTGCACAAGTGGAAGCACACTGAGTAAAGGCCACCAAATGTGTGCGACGTGTTTAAGTCAGACGGCAGGGTGACAGTGGTTGCATTTTGGGAGCCTGGCGGGGCTCTGCTCGTCAACTTTCTAAAACAGGGGCGCACAATTAATGATGAATACTACACCTTCCTTCGGTAACAGTAGCGAGCAGCAGATATCAAGGAGAGACTAGGGAAGCTGACTAAAAGTGTGCGCCTGATCCAGGATCACGCACCAGCACACGTGAGCAGGGTGACGATCAGCGAAGCAGTGAGCTCTGGCCTCGAGTTGTTGTCACAGCCACTTTTTTCTCCGTACCTTGCACCCTCAGGTTGCCACCTCTTCAGCAACATAAGGAAATTGCTTAGCAGTGGCAACTTCGCTGACAGCAAGGAGACAAAAGCAGCCGTCTTGGACGTGCCAGATGCGTCCAAAACCCACTTGGCTATGGAGGCCCAGGGGCCTCTCGCGAAGCGCTGCGCGAAATGTTTTTGCCCTAACGTTGGTTATTTGACTAAATGAACATTTTTGGTCTCATAAGTCGACATCGTATCTCTGCTCCTTCATGGTCGGGCCGAGAACCTTTTGAACGCCCCTCGTACGCGTAAATAAGGTTATCGCCTAGTAACCGCGCCTTACTTCGCATCCTCAATAGCATTTTGCCATGCGTTCCCCATGTGTCCCAGTGTTACGCCCCTCGCCCCATATCCCTCCCCATCTCGCCCGCGCCGATATGCGGTGATCAGAGGCATCCGGGCTATCCCCGGCTGGACGATTTATCTCACAGGTCACCGATGTAGGCGGAACGGGGTCTCCATGAGAGTTCCTCCGACCCGTGACGTAGGCGGGTGACCCTCCCGTGCATGGCCCCGACCCGGCGCGGCGGCGGGGGTGGAGGTGTCGGCTCGGCGCGGTTTATAACGCGCGCCGAACCCTCTCGGCTCACTTCTCCATCGGTGCGGCGCGTGGAAACTTCTCGTTCGGTGCTCAGAGCAGGCGGTGCGACCTTACTTACGTGTCACGATCGGTGTAACGAGAAGCAGCATACTCCCATGTCTTACACTGGAACAGGAACTTGCAGGTATGATGGTGCAGCTGACGTGAAAATGATCGTCCTTGCTTGGAAATGGAAAGCAGCGGCAATAACTGCTTATGTTAAGCACCTATTGCTTTGGTCAATGTTTAGAATTTTGCTTTCAATATATATTTGCTTAAGCATATTATATGCTGAATTTTGACGAAAGGACGCTATACATACTTCCAGATGCGTCCCCCAAAGCCTTGCAATGAAAATGCATTAGCTTCCGTGCAAAACGAAACGCGTCATAAATGCAAAAAAGTCCTTGGTCTTTATCACAATTTTTTCACCTGGGCTTTACTTCATCAATCATCATCGAACTTAAAACGTGAAAAAAAGACTCTTGCAACAAACTGTTTAAAGACCTTTGGCCAAAGGTCGTATTTCAACAAGTGTTGTGCCCGGGTGTCGAACAATTTACAATATTGCTCTGTGTGAGCTCACCTAATAAGTTTTCGAATTTTAGCACATTTTAGCACATTTTAGCACATGAATGTAACTTTTATGCAAATTGCAATAGCAACCGATATCCCAAAGCAATGCACATCAAATGTAAATGTCAGTGCAAAAAAAAAATCATCATTCTTATGAAAGTACAAAACTATTGTAATGCTTCCATGTAATATATATCTTCCTCTTGTTAGTTTTTTTTCACCGAGTTCTACATATTCGCAAAGCGTTTTGTAATATCATATTGATGAGATGAGCTTTGATCTGCCCATGAATAGGGCAAATTAATCATATTATCATTTTGTGATCTAAATTGAGGCCAATACACCTGAGCGCAGGAGTTACACGACGCACCATATTCCGATAAGCGTCCATTTAATGACTCCCCCGTTGATCGTTTTACGCCTGTTATGAAAACTTCGCACATCTGGAGGCGTTTTGAGTTATTTTGACGGATCATAGCTCACGAGGGAAAACAGATGACATCATTCATTGGCATATCGTTTTTTTCACGCGAACTTTTAACGTAGATATGTTGAAACATCCTCGTTTGTGATCCTATACGAGTAGTGCATTTTACCTAAAAACCCAGAGCTGGTAAAAATGGGCCAGAAATGCGAATCAAAACCAATTTTATAACTTGCTCTGATAGGAAAGAAATCGAACGAGGAATAGATGAGGACATCTTTTAGCAGTTCCGCTTAGTTATATTTATTTTCTTTGCTCGTCGTCCGTGCTGTGCGGTGTCTGACGTTTTCCATAATTTCGCCGTAGGTTCGGAAAGCCTGACGTCATCTCTGCCACCGAGACCAGCCGAAAGGATAGGGAGGGTGCCTGCAGGCACCCAGCCCCCAGTCGCCGGTCCAGTCGGGGTCCCACCAGGGCCCTGTTGCTGGCCCTGCTTTGTGTCCTCGTTACAGCTGCTAGCGCCAAATCAATGCCGAAGTGCAGGTGAGAATCGGGCAGCGTGCCGACCTTTGACGTACAGCTGACGGGCCCTGACGTGTAGCGTGTCCCGGGGGACTAATATGTGAGGTGACGTGTCATGAGCGCTGCAATACGGGGATTGAAATACGTGCTATGTGCGTGATAGAAAGAAGATACTGCAACGAGCAAGCATATCTCCACCCATGTAACTGCATGGGTGGGGTTGGTTGGTTGTCGGGACGAGTTCAAAACTTCGCTACATTTTATTGTTATAAATTTATTGTACCTCACTCCATCTAAACAAATAGTGGTGACTGGAAATCTAGTCCTAGCTGATGCACCAGCCGATAGTCCGGCACCCAAATCACATTCAGCTCCTGATCAGTCTCTGACTTCTGCCGTTTCTGTCCGTTTGTCGCCAGAATTCACCCGTTCCACCCGTGGTGTCGAGGTGTGGCTTCCCGCGCCCACCCTGATCGAGACTCGCTGTCACCTCTGAGCGGAGCCCGGCTCAGCACACTGCTGAGAAAATACATCAGAGCCGACAGCAGGTATGGGCTGTTACATGAGACATGGGCGCATGAATCCTGTGAATGTCGTTGAGTTTGCATCTTGGCTGGACAAAAACTTTTCTTTCAATTAGTTCAGGTGTTCTTAAATTAGAATGTTAATGTTTTCTATCATCATCAAAGCTTAACCAAAAATATATAGGCAAATATTCAATGAAATGAAAGAAAATTATACTGTTACCGAAGATCGCGACATTATGTCTGACCCAGATCTAGCGCCATACTTGTGTCGCCGTCCATGCTAGTTGATGGGCTTCCACCTACCATACTGGTCTGATGTACCTATGACTTGCTTTGTGTAATTAAGAAAACTCCAATACAAAATAATTATAACCAAAAATGTGCAGTTTACACAGGCATAAATGCTATTTAAAAAGCTGTAACAAGCATCGGCTAAAGCTGTTTCTCTAAAGGGCAGAGACAGTTGAGGGCGGTCTTAACTCTTACCCCAAGGGTTCTTTAAAGATTTTAACATCTTTTGCCTGTTTTCAGACGGACAAGAGCCATGGAGTCACTGAGCGAATTCTTAAAAGAGGAGAGACCAGCTCTAGCTGATCCGACGAGAGACAGCGATACTCTGTTGCGTCGGGTGAGTCATATTTGCTTAGACAATTGGACACGATTTATTTCTTCGATTCCATTAAATGAACTGACAATGTCCTCAGCACAATGCTGTTCGTGCTAAGAATATATAAGCATATGTACATTTGTAGGCTAAGTTTAAAATAATTAAAAAAGGAGTTTGCTTGTGCAGTGTGTTTATGAGTATAAGCCAAATAAAGTGATAAATAAAAAACAAATTGAATATTAAATAAGCATTCTTAACTAAACTTTTTTCAGCGAGATAACAAAAAGTTGATGTTCGAAAATTAACGGTTCTTTTCCGTTCTTTTCAGCTTCTTCGCACGGCAAGGGACTCTCAAAATGACGGAGCAGTCTTCGGTTGAAGAGGGAAGTGTCAACTGAGAGATATAGACAAAAGAGCTCTGAGACATACGCGTGGTGTCAACAAAGTTACAATACTCGGATTCAGTTATCACCATGAACCGATGGGGTTCATGGGGTATGATACATGGTCATCAGGTCGATTATCAGCGCATTGAATGTTTGTTCATTTTAGAACACCCACACTTTCGTATACAGTAGATGAATACTCCATGATTGCGTCGGTGAGCAGAAAATAATACTAATGATAAATGACACTCATTACGGTGCCTATCAGAATGTCGATTGTTTTCCATTTTTTCAACTGTTTGCATCTAAGGATATTGATCTCATTTATAGACCTATACTTACTTTGATGTTCGTAGTAAAAGCTGCCTTCGAGCACATAAGTATTTAACAGTTAATTACCTGCATCAAAAACAGTGTTTAATAAGGATAAGGACAAACAGTTGAGGTGATAAGCAGGCATAAGCAATTTTTGGACAAACATATATTTATAACTCGCAGTCGCTATGTCATAAGTGTAGATCCTTCCAAGAATATTGTATTTAGTTTAAAATATTTAATAACTGTGTGTCATGTGTCAATAACTTTACTGCCACTCTGTAGGTCATTCAGCAGTAAGCGAACAAAGACAACACACTCTAGTTCCGCCCAAGCACGGCTGATCACTCATCTTTTATTGCTGTGCATTTGCATATTTTTTAGTTGTATTTTTACATGCATTTAAGCCAGAGGCATGATTAGAACAGAAAATGGCAATTTTCTATCTTATTTTTATCATACTTACAATTACGTGCATCTTCAGTTATGTGCTGTTGGCTTGTTTCTATTTTAATGTTGCTTGATGCCAATGCAACAAATATACAGCATGGATGCAACTCTCATCACAGCGAACATGTATGCATGCAAAAGCGCGCAAGTGTTGACCTGAGCACAAGTTAATTGTTGCTAGACATTGTAGCAGTGTTATACGAGGTAGCAGTATGCTCCATCCACTATTTTTGCTTTCCATTTGTATTTATTTCTTATACAACTTTGCACTAGTGTTTATTTATTTTCCCATTGACAGCCTGTTTTTTCTCAGTATTTACTCTTTGTGATAAGTGAGAGTTTTACAATAATAACCGTGTTGTGTGCCCGTCGTTTCGTATTTAAAACGCTGTGATGTGTTAAGTAATGTTGATGTTATCAACGATCGGTCAGCAGTTTCCTTTTGTGCTGGACTGGATCGTTATATAGTGCGGTGGCGATATATCTGATGTCTTGGATAATAAATGACCAGTGTGCATACATGCAGTTGTTGAACTACTATTCTTACTACCTATGTTTACCATATCTGTATTTGCAGCTTTATTTCTAACTACTACCATCCTCACTGTTGAATTGGGAAAGGTTTGACTCCATATATGTCACAGACTCAGCATCACATTTTATTAGCAATGCATTATATCTAAAACCAACAGATGGTTGAAGAAAGCTTTATGCAAGTCGCAGGGCGGGCGGAGAATGCTGCCTTCCATCCGGCCATCCCGTCTCACCGCTGCTGCATAACCATAAATGGGACAGCCTGCAAAGCGTGGGTATATGCCTAAAATGTACCTGGCCTGTCCTCAAGACTTTGATTCACTCCCATTATCCTGCGTTTGCATCAGCTGCTCGATCTTTCAGTAAGAAATAGACGAACGACGGAAATAGTCATCCTCTCTTTCACTTCCGTCGCTATTTTCCCTCTATTTTCAATATAAAGCTTTTGTTCGGTAAGGAAGTGCGGCATATCCTTCTCATAACGACAAGCAGAAGGTCGTTTTGAAACAGTCTATTTTTGTAACGTTGATTGTGAAACAGGCATGTGAAAGCCACAAAAAGCAGCAAAACACGCCTCGCCAGAAGTCGTGCGCATCAGCCGAACGTGGGGGAAAGGCGATGGTGTTTACGGAGCGAGCGAAGCGAGCGTAGTCTTTCCTTAGATTAACGGAAATTTCTGAGTATGAGCGGCCGGCCGGCCGGCCGGCCGGCCGTGGTCACGCTTTTGCGAGGCTTATATCTCAGCAACCACTTGACCGATTTACACGCGGTAATTTTTGTAGGGTAGCTTCATTCCTTCTACCAAGTATTGGACTATTCCTGATGCATGTGGGTGACCCCTTATGCACGTGCCACGTGCAAAACGAAGAGGTGTCCGTTTTGTAATTGTCGCAATATCTCGGTAACTACTTGGCCGATTGCGCTGAAAGTTGGCATGTAGGTAGGCACCCACTAGGCACTGCATATCCATGTGCCAGAGTTGGGGTGCTGCTGCACGTGCGCACGTGCAGGGGTCGTTTCCAGATCTCGAGAACGGCTCGCCCGATTGCGCTCAAATTTGGTACACAGTTAGGGACCGGTTAGTAGGGTGCCGTGCACAAGTCAGTTGGGACCCATTTTGCACGTGCGCACGTGCAGGGTGCCGCTTCCAGATCTCGAGAACGGCTGGGCCGATTGTGCCCAAATTTGGCACATCGCTAGAGACCAGTTAGTAGGGTGCCGTGCACAAGTCAGTTGGAGGTACCCCCTCGCAATTTCGCACGTGCAAGGCCCACCCTCTCGCTCGCTCCGTTAGTCGCCCCAAAAGGCGTTATACTGGTTTATTCTACAACAGAATATAAATATTTCATGCCTTTCTTACACAAAATCCAAAGGATCAAGGTGATTAAGAAAAATGCATATTCAATAGTTTATTGCATCGTTATTTTGCACCTTCGGCCAAAATAAGGGCAGTTCATTTTTCTCCTATTGACTTATACTGGAAAAGTCGCAGAATTGAACTGGCCTTATGTCACCGAGAGATAAAAATGGTTTGCACTGATTTCCTCATGTCATACCACGAGTTTCAAACTTCTAGGAGATAAACTGCGGAGTTGACAGAATCGCAAAGGCAGGATCACTTAACTTGAGCTGGTGACCTGACCTTGTGACCTGGGGTCAATTTATTTCACACAAGACGCAAAATGTATGCATCATAAGATATAACAAATTTCGCCGCTCTGCTCACCACGGTTTTCTTTACACACGCAAAAAAAAACTGGCGTGTATCGCCAAAAATACCTCCCCCATCTGGGCAAAGATTAATCATAAGGTTCACATCAAAGTCGGTAGAATATCGAGTGAACTCTGTAGCATCTCCAGTCATGCGCGTGTTAAAGCACCTCTATGGTGAAAGACAAGTGTAAGAAAAACTTTAATAACCCTAGCACTTATAGGGAAGGGCGAGGTGAACAGATTTCCTCGTTTTTTTTTCGCGAATGACTCCGCAAGAAGCAGCCGATCACGAGGAATCTTGCACATTCAAGTTTTTTTCTTGCACATTTAAGTTGATCAATTTCACACCTACCCTGAAAATTTCATAATGAGCTTTGACCTGTGGTCCGTTTTCCGAGACCATGTTTGGTCGGAATCGGTATTCGGCGTATGACGGCCCACATTATCCGCGCCTTTCCAGTCTTTTTGTAATTGTAAACGTTCAAACATGTGAAATGCCGTCTGTCCCATGCATTAACCCTCGCCGGCCGAGGGGGGGGGGGCGGGTGCCGCCCAAATAGGGTTTAGGTTTTTTAGGTTTTTTTCGCGATAGCTCCGAACACGCTGGCGATAGAGAGCTGAAACTTGGCATACCTGAGCTCTGATTCAAGCCAGATCTTTTGACACCAACCGCATTTTCGGGTTAGGTCAGGTCACTGACCTATGACGTCATAAGTGAACCTCTGCACGGTCTTCAGATGTCGCAACTTCGCAACGCCCTCACTGCCAGAGGAGCTTTCACAGGGAAATGAAACTTGCAGATCTAGTATCCATTACAAGTCTCACAACTTATATATCTCGGATTTTTCCGAAAGGTCATATGAGGTCAGGTCATTTTCGTGACCTCACCATGACAAGTCAATGGGGGAAATGAAAACTGCTATTCTGGCGCCGGGAACGATCTCCAACTATCTCAAGCACACATAATCGTGATTTGATGCACTCCTTGCAAGGTTAGATGCGTAAATTTTGAAATGTTGACCTTGCGTGACGTCATTTATGACGTCATCAATGTCATATTAGTTTTTCGTCAATAACTCCCGATCAAATTGAGCTAGCAAATTGAGCTGCCGAATCGAATGATATGCGACATGACCTCTTTCAATCAACTTCGTGACATGGGGGCGCTGACCTGACCGTGACCTGAGGTCAACACCCTAAGTTGACCTGACCCAAACAAAAAGTACATCATTCGACGCGCCTGAGCGAGGCGAACACGATGCTGCCAAAATCGCGGCTCTGTGGCCGTTTTTTTGCGAAGTTATTCACCAAAAACTGAACCATACCTTGGGGCACTTGACCTGACCTCAGAGGTCACCGGTTGATACCACCGGTTGGGTACCAATCTCTGCGTCTCGTAACGCCGCACACGCTCGTTTTTTCCGCGACGCGCTAGCTCCACCAGGGGCGAAACGGCGAGGGAGGGTCGTACCCGCCGCCCCCCCCCCCCCTCGGCCGGCGCGTATGTAGAAAAACAATAGGTCCGGCGAGGGTTAAAGGTAGTGTGCCAGCTTTCTTGGACCGTATGGAGTTAATGGCCCAGATAAGGAGAACCGGATTTTTAGAACTTATCCATACCTTCAAAACTCATGGAAACGTCTTAAATTCTTCAAATTTTGAGTACCCCAGTGCGAAATTCGCCCCGACGGGTTGTCGGTCGTACCCCAACCACATTTCACACCACTATGAACAATAAATGCACACACTGAAATCGCTATTACCGATATGCTCATCCAATCAAGTTTCGATAAACCCGTTCATCATCATCTCCTGCGGTTTCGAACACGCCTGTTAGGTGGCTTCTGATGCTCGTCGAGGTCGGAATTTCCAAATACGCGTGGTGCGTCGGGCCGCGCGCTCTGACTTCGGCCAAGAAAAATGCGTCAGCTGATCATTGTCATTTCTGCCACTTGCGTGTGGTGAAATGGGGTCATAACTTGTAAGACGGCTTTTTCATATCCATTATTTTACATAAAATCATATTTCAAACCATAAATAATGTTCGACAGCCAAATAAAAGAAACAATACCAATACGGGCTTACAGTTCAAGGCTCGACATTGTGTTGTCTACGATTAGACAGCTGATAACTCATTCCCGTACGTCGTATGGTCGTAACACTATAATGACCTTTGCTTATTGTCACAAGTGCGCCGCATTCGCGATTGTTGCCCGACGCCTGTTTGCAGGTGAGCCCACTACAGTTGTTATACATATCTAAAAACCGAAAAACTTTTAGGCGAAAAAGGCACTATTCCAGGCCCATTTTTGATTTTTTTGCGATATTATGTAAAAACAGAAGCTTCTTATCCTAGGAAAAATAAAATGGGAAATCTTTCAAAGGTGGCACACTACCTTTAAGGTGGTTGTCAACGTCACGCGAAGGTAAGTTCAAGGTCATCGACCTTAGGTGACCTTGGTTCACTTTTTCGAGTTGTGTATGTTCCCAGGGTGATCCGGAGGTGATTTCGAAATTAGCAGCAATTTGGACATTTACGGAATTAGTTTTGGTGCCTGCGTCACATATTACGAAGATGCCAGTGGTGGTTGACACCTACTATGGATGGCCGACAGGACCCCTACTGGTTAGCCTGACCTGACCTGACCCTTGGTTCACTTTTTCGAGTGGGGCATTCAAATGCATTAGCCCTTCTGAATTCAAGGTACTGGAACTTTGAAATTAAAATATCCGAATCAAAGCATTTCTCGATGTTTTGAGTGCCCAGACCGGTAAATGCAAGCCAGGGACCCCAATTGGGCTATCTTTCTAGTTGAGGCTTATTTGCCATTGGGTCTACAGTGCAGGGATATTTCTATCTCGCACTCCTCTGAGATGCAAAGATAATAATTTGTTATCTCTGCATCTCTCTGAGATGCAAAGATAAGGTCTCGAGGGTTCATATCCAAAAATCAAGAGTTCAACTGATGATGGGTCAATAACCGAACGGCATTTTTAATGGCTGTTTCTATATGAATCTTATGAAATAAAAACAAACTACTCTAAATCTTTGTTACATAGATGAATACACTTAAATATAATATTTAATTAATTAAGAATAAACCTCAACATAGAAAGATATAGGATTCCTCATGGCTCACTCGTGGAAGATCGGATATCTTTTCCTCGCGTGTTACAGAAAAACCTCGCTCCTTCGTCGCTCGGTTTTTCAGTAACCCGCTTGGAAAAGATATCCTTATCTTCCACTCGGAGCCATGAAGAATCCTCTATATCTCAACTCAAAACTAGTATTAGGCGGGATGGTCACTTCAAACGGCAATATTGTATACCTATACTTCCGCCATCCGGCATGCTGTCATGCATCTAGACGTGTGCCCGGCCATGCTCGGCTTTGTGATGGTCATATCGGTAGTTAATTAAATAATCTTAGTGTTGAGAAAGTGTTGAGCACGGGATAATGATGTTGCAAAACTTTGGGACACCCAGCAATATCAATGTCTGACACCATGTGATATTCAGCGATTTTGGAGGTTCTTTCAGGCGAGGAACGGGTCTGTCAAATGAGGACATTTCTGCATGATGTAAACAACCAACGAATCACGACAAATATAGTGAAATGTGTCATGTTCATGGGGGTGAAACAGGATGGCGAACAGACGAAAACATCAGGGTTCAAAGGCAACACCTACAACATCGGCAACTGACATCTGACAAGAACATAATTTGTGTAGAATAATCCCCTGTTTGCCTCTATTTAAACCGATAGCTATGGAGCAGCATTTGGACAATTTCTTTCCTAACGTGAATCTCACAAGGTATAAGCGCATACCACATATCCTGTATTTTTTGCTTTTATTCAAGTGGCATTAAAGCACACCTTGACGGATCGCCTTGGACGGATCACCTTCACGTCTTATTCCAAGCTGAGTATTACGCTATTGGCTATCATTGCGCAAAAGCAGACGGAGCGTTTATTGTATTGAACATGATAAATGATAATGTTCATCGGAAGGCAGGTGATAAGCAATGGCTATGTTGGGTGTAATCGTATAATTACCGGTACGTCACACTACATGAATGATGTAAAATTACACGTCACTTTCACGTGATTCCAAAGATAAAACTAGCACATTCTATCAAAACAAGCAACAGTAAGAAAAAAATGCGAGCTTGCTACTTAGAATGATTAATAACGCTTTTAATAATTTACTTGCCACACCTTTCACGTACACACAACATTCAGCAAATGAACATTGTTAAAAGGTACAAGAAGATGCAAGAATACTATCATGAATATCATCGAGTTCCAGGTACGAGAAAACAGAAGAGGCAGCAATGCTCCAACAAAACTAGACGATTTTTCCCACTCCATATTAGTCTTATTGCATCGTGCGGTAATAGTGAAATAAATAACTATTGAAGCTGGACTGTTTGTTGTTTTTGTTTTGTTGGTTTAAGCCCTTTCGGTCTGACGGGACCATTTCAGGGCCGAAAGGATGCTAGGAATTAGGGCTAGACATTGGTCTGAGCGAGCACCCTAGTCAGCCGCCGGGGCTGAGCCCGTCCAAAAGACCGGCCGACCAGACCTCAAGCACTCACTGCACCCCACTACGGCCGTGCTCTTACGGGTATTCCCGCATGAGATAAAGTTGCCCACCCAGCCCGGAGCAGGGTTTGGATGCGCGGAGGATAAGGATTCGAATATTCTGAGGAAGGAAATAACGGGCCGGTGTGTGTGGACTATATTCGCACTACAATGCAGTATTTCTTGTATCTGCCAATCCTTGCTAAATCGTGTTCGAGTTGTATTAGGAATTCGTGGGTGAGATATAAGACATGTGCATCAGATTCAGGTAATACACGGCTTCACAATGGACGACACCGAAAGGTGTCGATCCACTTGACACTTGTCCTGAAGCCAGCCAGGATAATGATATATCACAACTACTCTGTGTGGACGATGCAGCAATGCTGCCTGCCGGCCTCCTAGAAAGACTGCAGCGTCACCTAGGGTCGCGGCCGGCCGGCAGGCAGCGCCACCTATCGCTGAGCGCCGGCGACTGGTATCGCCGCCTGTCACTGGCTGGTCTCCTGGAGTCTCATGGCGAGCTTGTAGCCCAGCTCCGGACGACGATCACGGCCCTGAACCATCGACTTCACCTGAAATCAGCAGAGTTTTCTATTAATCAACCGCACATTTCTAGAAGTAGTGGGTAAATGTACATTTAAATTTGATTCATACGTCATAAATGCATCGTGTTACATTTCCATTATGAGCAGGTAATCAACGGACACTCTTTTGTGGATCTATAACATACCTACATTTTAGCAGTGACTTGCGTCATCACGGCAGTGCTAACTTACCACTTATTACAGGGCTGATATAGTCAGCAAGAAAAAAAAATTAAACACAAATGAACCACAACGTCATATGAGTATCCACTGTGCACCTACCTCGGTGGAGTTGATTACGACGCCGTTCGCTTTCATGATGTTCTGTTTGAGCTTCTCGATCTCATCTGTACACACTCCTCTGCAGGCATCATCAACGAGGATGGTTCGGAAGCCCTCGTCCAGAGCGTGTGTAGCAGTCGCACCTAAAAAACACAAATATCGTATCTTTGAAGTCAAACGTGAAGTCTTTGAAGTCACAAATGATGCAATGATGTTAAACCAGGTTGTGATGTAACCTAAAGACAAATTGGTTATGACGCTGTGAAACTAAAAAAGCGAATAACATAATTATAGTAGGTAAGTGTCCGTCCAAACTATACATCGTCAAGACAGGTGAGTCAAAATTCGGATCTCGGATTGAGCTCGGGTGATAACACATTCAAAGTACCAAAAGTTCGTCATTTTCTCAAACACCAGTTTAGGGCTACTAAAAAGAATCCGTGATTGTCCTACCGACGCAGACGTCTGTCGCGATGCCGCAGACAAAGACGTCGGTGACGCCTCGCTGGCGCAGCTGTCGGCTCAGACCCGTGTCGGAAATCTTGGCGTTATCGAAGAAGGCAGAGTAGGAGTCGATCTCGGGGTTGTGACCCTTCTTGATCCACAGAGCACCGTCGACGATCTGAGGAGGATGTGATGATGTTATTTATGACTTCTGAATGATGATGGGAAATGAAACTAATGACGGGGAGATTGCCACATGTTGTAGAAACGTTGGCAAAATAACAGGACGTTGACAGGCGCATGATAATAAATGTGTGTTTAAACCAGCCTCTTATAGGTACGCGCCCGTTTATGCGTGCTTGTTTATTGCTATTGCTCCGTCAGTACCATTTACTTAATTAGAGAAAAAAACACTCCATTAATCACATCTGCGCACACAAGGATCAATACACCGCCATTCCATGCGTCACTGCGCTTGGCTTCTGAGAAACGCATAAGGAATCGCTAAAAAACATTATTGCCATTCTGCGAGCGGCTGTGTCGTGCGCGTTCGCTCGGCGCGGTGGCCGCGGCTGACTAGTACAACTATCGAGCACGCTGGGTCGGACCCGAGGTGTAATCGATATACCGGCTCCCGCAGGCCCTCACACGAGACGGCATCGGATCGGTCGCCGCAGTTCGGCGAGCTGTGTAATTAAACGCACCGCTGTCCTCATTACGGGGGTGCCGCGTACCGGCTCCACCGGGATAACGGGATTGAGGATATTGCGCACTGATGTGTCGGCCTGACGTTGGATCAATGGGGTACGGAGGTATTGTTCTGTCGTTTCGCCATTTCTTAGCTCGCGTTTCAGAAAAAAGGTTTTCAACTTCCTAGGAAGTATAGGTACAGGAGGTATGTTGATTTATATGATTTGAGTGGGCCTTACCAACAAAAGATGACTTTTTGTTTGCACTTCGCCATTTCTCACAAGACCAATGTAGGTAAAAAAATCAAGTCTTCCCACAAGTTCAATCCTGAGGTCGATCTGGATATATAAACTTACCTTGAGATCGGGGTGCAGTTCTGCGCCCCACGAATCCTGGATGCAGTGAGGAGGCCACAAAATCTGCTCCTTGATCGGGTCGCCGTCATACACGACCTTATCACATGTTTTTGCCTCTTCTGCTTTTACCTGAAAACGAAAAGCACGCTAATATTCGCTCACCTGCCTAGTGCATCCTACGTGGTTGGCATGCTTGATAGAAGTGGATAGAAGTGTGGGTACATCCATGACACATAATCAAACATCAAAGCGGCTGAAGATGCAGCCATAGTGGTTACTCTTAATAGTGGTTACATAAGTCTGGGAGCATGTGGTCGAGGCGCAATGACATTATGTCGACATTATGACGTCATAACGCAATTATGACGTCTCTGACTGGGTCGATATGGCAGCAAGAAGCTGCGGCGGAAAATGGCGTCGCATAGAAAATAATTGAGGGGTAATTGGACGTACTGTAACAAAACTAATGAACTGCAATATGTTGCCACCGATTCCAAATGCACGTACGTAATGCGATGTTCACTACCTGTACTGCATTCAGTGACCTAAAGTAATGCCTTAAGAAAGTATTAGCACATCATAGTATTTACCTTATACCTAACATAATATCTTTCGGCATAGCAGCAAAAGTTTTACTACGCCTTGGATTCACACAGAGCGTCTGATAATCTGCTTCCTTTCATTTGTCTTCAATCAGAAAAGCTTGCAAAAAAGCAAATAGAAATGATAATTTGTTATTAGGTTTCCAGACAAAATAGGTGTAGATGAGGAGTGCGAATTTTGGAACGCCGAGTGATAAACTGACCGGTGATGTCGGGTGCAGCGGGTACTTCAGCACGTTTGTGACGAACGAGAGGTGGTCGTTCGGATGCCAGTCCATGGAGTAGACCACCACGTCGAACTTGATCGTGTCCAGTGCTTCGTTAATCACGGGCACAACCTGCCGATCACGGCAAATTATGTTAGTTCAAATGCATTCATAACTATGGCCGTATAGGAGAGTGCGTTAACTGTACTGTCAACGGGAGAAGCAAAGATGAACATTCGCAACGAAACCGCTGGATAGCGGACCTTCGGTGTTTTGTGCTTTCAAATGCACTGATAATGATAAATAATGATCTATCGGATCATGTCGGCTCTAAGACGGCTCAAGCGTGCACTCAATCTCCAGCATATTAGTACCTACTTCCGCGGTGTTTTTCACGCTACGCAGATACAATATGAGCCCAACCCCAGTGTGTGACGAAACGCATGTTTTGTGTCCCGAGCCCTGCGGCACAGTATCCCGTCAGGCGCTGACCACTAGTGACATCTAGTGAGAGGAGAATGAGTTGACTGAAGCACTGCGGCGCAGCATCATGCCAGGCGTCGATTACTAGTGACATCTAGTGAGTGAGGAACGAGTTGCTGGGGGAGTGCCCTGCGGCACAGTATCATTCCAGGCACTGAGCAGAAGTGACATCTGGTGAGAGAGAGAAGCAGTTGACTGGGAGACTCCTTCACACTGATAAGCTTGATAAGCTACCTTCATTGCGTCGGTATGCGTAGAAGAGAATAGGTATATCCGGGAAAGGTTGTCCAGCACGCACTGTGTAAACACGGGTATACCTAGTACCTACTGATATCTCGTAAAAACAAATAGTTAAAGGCGAGCTTGAGTTCACGCTGCATCGCGTCTGAATGCCACGCTGCTCCTAGCATTGCTGACATTGCCCTTTCTGAGCTAAGAATGACTGTGAGTGAATGATAATCCTGAGTTTCAGTTGATCGTTAATTTTTAATGAAGGCCAGTAACAAGAAGTAATAATTTCCAAAGCTGGTAAGTCGTGAAATCAAACCAAGCCACTTCTTTTCAAAGCCTTTCTTTATTTCATTTGAACCTAAGAATAACTCGGCTCGACCTTAACATTTCCAAGCCGGGAGCAGCTCGGACGGCTTCCACCGTTCGTCGCCATTAGTCTCACAAACTTGGGCCGGCTCTCAGCGTCGGAAGGCACGCTGCCGGCGTGTGCCTGGACCTGACCTGACCTCACGAGGGGTCGTCACGCGGCGCGACATCCCTCGGGCTGGCACTCTGCCAGAAAGAGGCGTGTTTACCAGACACGGCGCGGGCTAAAAATGGCGCGTCCGGAAACCGACCGCCCATCCAGAGAGGCGCCACAATGGGACGACGGCGCCGCAACGCACAATGCGACGCAGCACGCAACTTCTGTGTGTGTCGGCGTGTCTGTGTGTGCTCGAGGGGCAGCTGTATTTATAGATCACGGGCCACGTGGTGCCAGCCGACGAACGTGTTGTCGAGATGTTTGCTAATGCGTGGTTTCACTGGCCGTGATATCCTTGTCAATTTTTTGTCATCATTTTTTATCTATTTTAATATGTCTATAAACACCACATGTTGGTAATATGCTACATATAGGGTGTTCACTAAAAATTGACACAAACTTTGAATGACTGCACATCAAAAGTGAAGCAAGCTATTACGATGCAACTTAGCATGGAGATAAAAGGGACATTTTTGTATCATACCGAGCATAAAATTTCATGGGTGTAATGAAAACAGTCGCGTTGGAGGTCGTTTTAAATAAGGACCACCGAAAGCCAATTGGCACGCTTTCCCAAAATAGCACGTCAATGGGAGAGTCTGGCACGTACAAATACCTAATGAAAGCTTAAAATGTCGAAATTAGTTACATACCGTATGGTGGGACGAAAGTTCTAGTGGTTGTGGGAGTCAGAAAACCTGAAGTGGTGCAAATGTGAAGATACTGCTGACCAAAGGAAAGGTCGGGGCCCCGAAAATGCACGTGGAGGGGCTTTTTGGCACCTCACGATGCAATGCTGCCGATCAGTAAGGTATTAACTGTGCCTATAAAGCGAAGAACATATATCACACCTGAGGCTAGGATGAGTTACAACCGGCGTAAATGATTTCTCGAAGCGACTGGGAACAACATAAGGCAAGAGAAGTAAATAAACAATGGTCAAGAAAGGGCCACAAATTGCAGAAAAAGACCGATCTATTTAAGGAAGAAAAATCATGTTTTTGTCAAAGGGCGACAATTAACTAGACAATGGAGTGTTCTGTAGTGATGTTATCAATGATACAAGAGCTAACGTCCATTTAGCATCCAAGCTAACGCTGGATGCCGTGGTACGTGTGTTATTTCAGAGCATATTATCAGTTCGACTTTATTTCTCCAGGCCGGTCCTTTACAATATGATACTTTCTGAGTCAAGTGTATTATTTAGCACAAGAGGTTCATGCAGAACAACATATGTAACCAGAAGGTGATCTTCTGGTCCGACCTCGCGCCAGCACACTTCAAGGGGCGCCTTGGGGGCTCCGGCCGATGTAAAAATTGCATGATTGAAACAAGGCCCGATAAGCCATTTGCCACGACTAAAATTAACAAATGAGTATCTAATGTGATTTGCCGAAGGCTATTACGTATATTGGTGTCTTTAAACTTGATACAAAATATCAACTGGCTGCTCATTACCGCCATGAATTGGCCAAAGTCACGGTCCACTGGTGCCAGACCTTGTGAAAACACTTACAAGAAAATGTCCAAAAAATGACCTACGGGAATCAGGCAAATCTGTTGACGCTCTACGGTTTGCAGCAGATGCAATGTGCATTACAACAATGCCTCGTTTGTTTAAATCGGTACATTTTTACCGAAGATACAGCCTGCTAAACTTTGTCTCAATTTTTAGTGAACACCCTGTATATAGATATTGACGATAAAGATTCGTAATGTACCATCGAAAATGTTACTTTCAATGGCAAAATCAAGTGAAATACAAATGGTTTCGAATGATTCACGTAAAAGTGCTTAAAAATCAAATGAAATCAAAATACCGTCTAAATTCTCAGTTATAGCAAAGGCGTACAAAAAAAACAGAATCGATTTTTCTGATTGCTAAGAAGCTCTCTCCGATTGACTTAAACTAGTACTTAGGTTAGGTTAAAAGATCAATGATTACTGGCATAACCTGCTTACCAACTGTCTACCGTGCATAAAATATTTCCAGCAGCTCCAAGCGTAGACAGCGTAATTCGCAAAGGAGATGAGTTTGGTACTCAATTCATCTAACAGCAAAATCAACATGTCTGTCTCATTTAAAACAAGCTAAAGGCATCAAACAACTACCAGCGCATGGCACTCAAGACGGGTCTAACAAATGTCCTATGAAACTTACGAAGCATTGAAATTTGAAATTGGCTTGCTACGAGGTGCTGTTTCGGTGGCGTGCGTGTTCTGAGTGACACGTGTGTCCTATTTTCAGCGCTTTGAAGTCATCCAACCAGTTCTGAAATATGAGACTGAAGAGTCTGTAGTCTGTAGCGCCACATCGCAAGCCTGACGTACCCGGATTTCTTGGCACATACATCTCATTTCAAAGCGAAATAAAGTGAAGGAGAAATCTGGTGAAAAGATATCATATTTGATGTAAATAGGCAGACTAGTACCAGGATATATGATGCCTGTACGGGAGTGTAGAAGCTAACGTTCTGTACAAAAGGGACGCGTGATAATGGAACTCCGCTGTCGCCCCAAAATCACACATGATTAGCTGTGCTTTTCATTTGAGTGTTGTCATTATCTGCTGCCTGCACATAGCCACACACAAAGTAGGTACTACTCAGACTTGCAAAACTTCTTATATTGAGCAGTTTTGCCGAATAACAAAACAGCATCAAAAGCAATTAAAGACAAAGGAATAAGTGGCGACTGGCCGTGCCAGTCCTCCTGCAAACAAGTCGTAATTTAACTACTAGTGACGTGGAACGAGCCACGGTACCATTCGTGAAAAACGAACATTTGTAACGCGCTTATGAATTCTGCAGAGCGCACCAACGACACAAAGAAGCGAACAACACTCAGATTGCCGCGCGCCAGTGAATTTAGCGGGCGCACGGCATCACGGAGTCGACAAGGTCACCGTCCTCCCTCCCCCTCCCCTCCCCGTGCGTCCCCCGGTGCGTCTGCCTGCTTATATGTAGCATGTCTCAACAGAGCGGGGTACGACACACCGCTTCACGAAGCAGCATGGTCTGTGTCGCGTGACTGTCGCGAGACGCAGCGCGGCCGGGGTTAGTCTCTGGATCGACCACGACTGGCGTGGTAACCGGACCCGACAGGACCAACTGACCTGGGGGGGGGGGGGGGCAAAAGGCGGATGATGAGGAGAAGAGGGATCGTAAGTAACAGGAACAGCGAAACGGATGATCATGGTATGCCCATCAGGATAACGAGCGCAAAATTGCTCACAAAACTATAGTACGAAACGCCATAAACAGGTAATGGGTGCAGCGCGATTGGTGCTTTATGAATAAATACTAAATACTTCTTTATTATCCCTTGCTTTACTAAGCCATTTGCATAAAAGTCCCCACTCCAAACACACACTGTCTAATATTCATAGTTTAACAAATGCTTAGGAAGCAAGAGCCTAAAATAGCATCTTTCCGGAACGGCTAATGATAAATACCGTAGAATCATTTCTCTACAACAACCTAAAAAGTTCCAGTAAAAAAATCCCAGAATAGAAGGCAGCACACCATTTCGTCTGCTCTGCTGTTGGGGGTCATTGGCTCCTCGCTGCTAATGTCACCGTCAGCGACAAAACGCCGAGTCGTGTCGACCGCCGCACAGCTGGTAAAGCAGGTCAGTCGGGGTGCGGCCGCCTGGCACCGCCTGGAGCGGCCCAGCGACGCCGCCGTGGGGGCTCCCGCCGCGGTCCCGACCCAGGGCACGGCGACAGGGAACGAGTGGACACCGCAATAGCGCAGAGGGTGGACATAAGCTGAAAAAATAGACAGCATGTGTATATGTAATTTGTAGTTTAAGAATAAGAGGCATGTTTTTCACAAGTCAATCATTAAATTGTTAGAACAGTGTAATTAATGGCAACGACATGATCATTGCACAT